ATGTCGTTGAGTAGTAGATGGCCGACTATAAGAGGATGGGCGACTAGAGAAACTACGCCTCAATCTATTAAATGTGGATAAAAACAATGAAGACCCACATCCACCTCTACTCGATACTACATGTTCTTGAGGTTGACAGCTACTAGATGCACCATCCCTTCTCCCATACATCTCTTGAATTTCCATTTGTCTAGAATTAAGCTCTTGAATACTAACAATCCTTGCTCGTTCTATTTGCGGCTCAAATTCTGCCTCTTGGTCATCTTCCTCATCTATTGGACTTTCGTACCCCCTCCCTATCTCTTCTGCATCCCTTTCTCTCTGCACTTTTTTTCCTCTTCATTCTGTAATTAATTTTATCATTTGTTGTTTTACTTTTGGTAGCACTTCTTTACAACCGCTGCATTACCCTTTACCCAAGCAAGATGTTCTTTTAAGTGATAAATACCACCACCAATTTCCTTATTGCAAAAATTACATCGTACTCTTCCTTTGTCATTCACTTTTGTACTATACTGCCATGTCACATCTCCCCTTCTCATCTTTTTATTTTCTTGTAAATTTTCCTGAGTATAAAAGTTCATTAAAAAAATATATATTTGGGAAAATCACTCTACCAAGGGGACCTTGTAAGCCTTACAATAACATCCAATAGAAAAAAAACTTATAATTAAGATGACCATGAATCACCATGCCATTCAATTAATATTTCTTTATAAAAAACATGCATGTGTGCCTCTAGACCATGAAAGCTGAAAAAGCCTTGCATGATGGGAATGCATTAAGTAATGTAGTGCTTTTAAACCGAGATTGAAGTGATTTTCCCAGTTATTGGAGAAGCACAGGGTAATACTAGGATATATGTTTCCTAGAGGGCTAAGGTCAAGTAAATCCTTCAATGGGGAATATGAATAAAAATAAGTGCCCAAACCTTTCCCAAAGCACATGGTACACCATGAAATTGAATAAGAGTAGCAACCTATTAAACAAGAAGTAATCCATATAAAAATACCTCAATTCATGATGAGCAGTTTGCATTTCATGTGATAGTGACCCTTGCCATGAATATATATGCAAGGTAAAAAGTATTTCTCAAAAGGTTCTAAATGGACGCATCAGAAGGGAAAAATACATCCACTTTCCAAAGGTGGAATTTAATACACTCCTTGCTATAAGTTTAAACTATAAAGCATGAATTGCTCCAAGGAGTTCTACAAGCTAGTACAATAGATCAATTCTGTATGTTGATCAAAACTGAAGATCTAATAAGATATACTGCCAAAACTGAAACCTTTATAAGAATGGGCTTTAGACACAATTAAAGTTGAACAACTAAATATATCCATTTTTCATAACATTGCTGCATACATAAAGATATAAAATCTTAAGGCTTTATGACACAATTGCATAATGAAGTATAGCCAACAAGTAGTCTGATACTTAAAGAATACTCGGAAAACTGAGTGTTTTTTGAATCAAAATGACTCCACAAATTCAAATCATTCGTAAAAAATGTCTCCCTAAAATTTAAAGAATACTTGGAATACAATTTTTTTTTTATTGAATATGTATATATATATTCTCATATTCATTACATCATCACAAAAAACATATTTTTATAAATATATATATTATGTAATATTAAAAACAATCTCACAAAAAAAATATCAACTTTATTTTTCATTCAACAAACCCTAAAATCCCCAAAATCCCCAAAATCGACCTCCAAATTTTGTTTTTGCTCTAAAATTCGTTCATTTATTTTATGCAATCAATAATCTCACACAAATATTGTTTATATATATTCTCATATTCATCACAAAAAAAATATTTTTATAAATATATATATTATATAACATTAAAAGCAATCCTCACAAAAAAAATATCAATTTTATTTTTCATTCAATAAACCCTAAAATCCCCAAAATTGACCTCCAAATTTTTGTGTTTGTTCTAAACTTCGCTCATTTATTTTATGCAATCAATAATCTCACACAAATATTGTATATATATTCTCATATTCATCACAAAAAACATATTTTTATAAATATATATATTATATAACATTAAAAACAAAAAAACCCTAAATTCCTAAAATCGAGCTCTAAAGTTTTTTTTTTGTTGTTAAAGAATCATTTGTTTATTTATTGCAATAAATAATACTAGTCAAATATTGTCTGAAAAATCCTAAAAAAGCTGCAAAATTAGGAAAAAAATTTAAAAAAATGGGTTCAAGCTTACCTTGTCTGCTTCAATCTCAAAATCGAGCCTCAAATCTCTCCATTTCAATGAAATCAGGAGTCTTGAAGTATACGTATCTCTGTGATCACTAAAATCCCTAACTTTTTATCAAAAAAAACTAAAAAACTAGACCAAAATCAAATGCATGGCGGATCTTTCGTAAAAAACTGAAGAACACCAAAAAACGCACCAAAAATTCTCCAAAATCAATCTAATCTTGGAGTTTTTTATTCAATATTGATGGATTTATTGAAGATTTGGAGGTATAATACAATAATTGAGCCAAAAAAAACAAAAAACCAGTAGGAAAAAACATTAAAAAGCTGCAAAAAATGGTGGATCACGGGTTTTGCCCAAATAACAGGCACTGTTACAAATAACGGCCGTTATTTTCTATAGCGCCGTTATTTTATTAAAACGCCAAACCGGACCGGTTTTTACAAAACCGGCCTGTTTTGTCAAAAAGTCGCCTGTTCGAGAACAAACTGGCCTGTTTTTTAGCCAATTTTTTTCAGAACAATGTGTTTTTTACTAGTACACTAAAACCGGACCTAACCGGATCGCCACCCTACCGGTAGTGAGCTAATCGGCCGGTTCTGGTTCCGACCAGCCGATTTTTCGAGCACTGGCTATGACATATTATTTTAGGAATCAATGCAATAAACGTGGAGTTGACCCCTTTGAACATTTTGCCCCTTAACATAAAACCCCTCACCATATTCAACAAATCCCCATAGAGCATAAACCAGAATTTTAGAAATAAAAAAAACAAATTGGGAAGCCATCTAAACCTGGTGCTTTGTCTCTTGTCAATGCAAATACTGCTGATATTAGTTCATCCAAAGACACATCTACTTCAAGTTGGGAAGCCACATGCAATGGCAACACTTTGAAAGGGATGCGAGCCATTCTAGGGGTGAACCAAACTTTTGGAGTGAAAGCTCTTCGGAAGTGATCAATAATAGCTTGATCAATTCCATCCACCCCTAGGACCGACAACCCAGAAATATCATTCTGCCTCTGACGGGCACTGGCCATAGCATGAAAATATTTAATATTCAAATCCCTATCTTTAAGTTTTTTCACCCTAGATCTCTATTTCCAATAAACTTCCTCCACCCTACACAACTCATTCAATGTAAGAAGCTTCTCATTCCTGGCTGTAGCATTCTGTTTAGATATAAACCCTTTACTCTGAACAATTTGATCAATGTCTTGGATTCATGTAAGAGTGCTATCAATTTTTGCACTAAGCTGATATCAAGTAACCTTTGTCCATTCAATTAGCTTATGCTTAATATTGAGCAACTTTTTGTATAATTGAAATCCAAAGACCCAAAAATAACTGTATTCTCCCAAGTAGATCTAATCAAATCCCCAATCCCCTCGTCCAAACACTCAATTTCCATCATAAAAAGTTGATAAAATAAAATGACCAAAATACCCCTAAAAAGCCTCTCAAAAGGTTGGTGGAACTGAATAGAATAGAAGCATGATCTGAAAAAAATCTAAGCAAAGTTTTGACAAAAACTAGAGAGAATTTCAAGCCATTCATTAAAGACCAAAAATCTATCAATTTTAGCCATAATAAGATTATGTAGGCTATTATTCGACTAAATATAAGCTGCCCCTGACATTGGCATATCAATCGGGATATAGCATTCAATAAATCCATTAAATGATCTCATAGATGGATTGATTCAAACCACCGAATCTAATTAAAATCCCCCCAACCCAACCCACGCGGCCCCCCCCCCCCCCCCAACCATCGTATGTGATGTCAACCTTAGAAGTAAAGTGCCCCTAAAAATCCTTTACAAGAACCTCTTAAGTTACAAAATCCTAAAATTTAAACACCTCAACCTCAAAATGCATGAATATAAAGAAAAAGATTTCAAGTCATCATCATCATCCAACGTCTTTTCCCAACTAATTAAAATCGTTATATGAATCTGAATCCACCATTCTGCTCTATTAAAGGTTATATCCTCAGTTAGACCATAAATCCCCATATCTTGCAACAAATTATTTAAACCACCTATTTTCAAAATTTATGTATATAAATCTATTCAATTCGTACAATTTTTGAAATTTCCACTTTCATAATTGCGGACAAAAATTGATTTTCAGACATAAGATTTCCAACTCTTGAACTACATCTCCTGACAAAATTTAAAGGTATACCTTAGGCTGACAACAGCCCGGGCCACCCCTAACGCTCCTTGAGAGCTAGACCGGGCCAAAATGGCCATCCCTATTCAAGCCGACCGGGTAGCTCAGGCTAAATAAAGCTAAAAAAACAAACGTTGCAAAAACATACATATACATGTATAGATAGAAAATATAAAAGATAGTCTGTGCCAACCCTATCTTGGCCTTGGCCCAAGCCCGGCCCAAAGGCGTCATCTTTTAGGGCCAGGCTGATTTGGTAAGAAGGGCACCTTACACAAACCTCACCACTAGTTTATTACAAATCTATTTCAAGAGGTATCACCATATTAGAGGGGGAGCCTTCTTAAAAAACCTCACAAAGATTCCACATTTACCTAGAGAGGGAGAGAGAATTTCCATCACTAGAGATACTGTGATTTCAGTGATTTAAAGGATCAAAGTCCATAATATAATTGAAAACTTCTGAGAACCCAAGTTAGACCCAAGATGGCAGCCTTGATCCAAAACATGATACAGGTCGCCAGCATACATTGAAAAGCCAAACTCAGAAATAAAGGAGCAGCAGATCATACTCAACAAAACCATGATACGTGAAAGAAAAATGCATTGGCACAATATCAAGCCACAGATCACGAAAACCAACTCAAATGACCAGGAAGTCAAGAACAGCACGAGGTTGCTCGCCTTGACATGGAAAAATGTAATTTTACACCGTATCAAGGTAGGCAATAAATTATAACAAGTCTTTCTCCATTTTACCACCCAGCACTTTGCAGGAAGAATCCAAACACAAAAACAGACCAGGAGAGGGGGACACATTATTCTGTATAGGTGTTTAAAAAAAAGAAAACAATGAATTTTCACCAGTCGCTTCACCACCTTTCTTTCGACTTGGGCCTGCCATAACCAACAAACAGCAACAAACATCAGGTGATACATCACACTAGAGCAGCAATAACACTACAATCACACCAGAGGAGGGAGAGTCGTCTGGAATAAGAAGAGTGGATTCTGCAAACAAATCAAATTTAAAGACATGGAAACAAAATAGTCTTTGTGAAATTGGATGTCATGGCAATTTTCTCAAAGAGAGCCAATATCTAACTCATTTCAACAAATTACATTCAATTCTTTTTCAAGTAAACCTAAAAAGGGAAGTTATCTTGTGCTGGTCCCGCCTAAGCACGGTCCCCGTAGGGATGGGCTGGAAACGGTCCTAACCTTTGGCTTATGCACAAAGTAGCCGCTCTCAAGACTTGAACCTGCGCTCTTGCGCTGGCTACCCGAGCCTTTTACCGTCACACCAAGTGACAGCCCCTTTTTTTCAAGTAAACCTATTGCACCAAAAACATTTAGTCTTAAGGTGACCTCGAACCAATTTGAAACAAAGTTATACAGAACAAAACAGATAATTTGAAATTTGGAGGCTAGTTCAAGAACAATTTTTTTTAGTAAATGCACCCTTCCATACAACCCAGATCCATGGGGTCTGAAATTTACAGATGGGTGCCATTACTAAGAAAAAGGCACAACAAATTATAGCCACCTCAAAATCAAGGCACTTGTAGATCTTCTCAGGAAACAATTGGAATTACTATCTGTTCTCCAAAATAACAAGAAACACTTTCCCAGATGAAAGTTATCATATATATAACTGGGACTATGGGAAAACGTTAGTCCTTTGGGTCATCATCTTCCATTGAAATGAAAATAATGAAGAAATAATGAGACACTTAAGGACGACACCTATGAGGGTCCCACTTTCTCTCCATCAACCTCTGTTACTTCGCTGGACTAGATGTGATGACCCTTAAGGACTATTGTTTTCTATTGTCCTTGGGTGTCTAATGTACTCTCTGGTTGCACGTGTGGTAATTAAGCCTTCTCCAACATTACGAATTCTCCAACATTAGGAAAAGGAACACATAAAATGAAAGATATAGAATGACTCATTTGTCGAACCTGTCAGAATCCCTGCTTCCAAGAAACCCTCTCTCTCTACCTCTTCTATCATCACCAGCCCTAGTCCACAAATCTGCAGCTCCTCGAGATCGAGGCCTTTCAGTGAGATCCATGCTTCTTGAACCCTCCGAGGTTCCTGGTCGAGATGGAGGCCTATCAAAACCAGTTCCAAACCCGCTTGCTGCAGAGCCAGTTCTCTCGATGCCTCTCTGCCCAAACCGAACCTTGTCATCTAACTCTCGTATCAGTAATTCTAGCTCTTTCTCTTTCTTTGCAACTAGTTCTTGCAGGCCCATATGTTCTTCAGATGCTTCCTTTCCAAAGTTCAGCTCAGCTTCTTTCGCCAGTTCTTTCTTCAAATTGTTTATCTCATCCTTCAACAACTTCTCCTCCTCAGTCTCCGGTCTAAGTTTTCCACATCAAGAAACACACAACAACGATCAATTCACAGATATAGACACACCATGGTACAAAGTAAAAAGAATATGATGGCAAACCATTAGAATGATGATCTAACACTAGTTTAGTGCTAATAGAAATCTAAGAGAACCATAATTGATATTCATATAGAGAGAAGTGCATGAATTGTGGTAGTATCGTCTGCACCATTTTACAATATCAAAGTCCAACCTAAAGGAAAGGGGGATAAGATAACCTAACAGTAAAACCCAGTAGGATGGATTCGTATCTCTAAATCACATCACTTTTTAACTTTTATGGATGTGAAGTACATCTCAAACTCTACAATTTTGCCTAAGCCATTCTTGCTTGACGGTTGATGCAGAACTAGCATAATGCCAGGAACCAAAACCATGTCCAAAAGAGCCAAGAACTGCAGTCCTTTGATGAAAATTTCTGTTGGCATAAGAGCTCCCAAAGTTTCTCGATTCTTTTTTTTTTCCAATAGGTAAATTCAATTCATTGCTGAAGTAATACATACATCAACTTGTAATCCAAGTACAAGAAAATTGAGACGTATGCATAAATGGAGAGGAGAGCTGAAATTAACAATCCTATGCACCTAATAAAAATCTTCCACGTGAGCAAATAACAAGCTCAGTAGTTAGAAGACATCGCTAGAAAACAGCACTCTTAGAGATTGAGACAACTCAAATTGCACCAGCCACTAACCAACCGGTTGGCTTATGATGATACCTTTCTCTTGTAAATATAAAATTTATTGGTTTTTATTTCAAAAACAGAAGCTTTTGGAATTCTTAGCTTTGCACACATATAGTCAACCTTCATTCCACACCCTCAACTTCTAGGAACCTCATCCCACCCACCCAACCACAGCAATGCCAAGATCATTATGCATGATCAATCAGATTAGATACCAAACATTCAAGAAAGCTAATGACTTACAGGTGATAAAAAAGAGTCTAGCACAAGGACATTGGAGTACATTCCAAATATTGAACTCTTCTCTATTCTTCAGCCACATCAGACAGTTGTCTAATCACAATGAGTCAACATAATTTTTCCAAGTCATTACCAATGTTTGAAGACAAGAAGTTGTTAGAGCGCCTGCTTCTTGGCAGCTTATTATTAGGAGCCAAAGACTAAAGTTAAGGGGTAACCATTTACATCGTGAGGGAATCCAATTTTCAAATTTCGACACAGTGGGTAGGTCAGAGAAAACTAACGAAAATCTGTATTTTAAAAGCCATAGATTAGCAATAATTTGGTTAGACTGCTGAAAAATCCATAGAAGTAGAAAATGAAAATCATAATCTTTCTTTGATAAACTACAAAATATATAGGCAAGCATGACATAACATATTTATAAACCCTTCCACATAATATATAGGCAATCAAACATGCTAGTATCCTCTTGATATTTTTTTCCCTGAGAATACACTAGTATCTTCTTACAAGTAATACAAGAAAAAAAGCTACTCAAACAACGATAAGGAAAGTCAAACAGAAGCTGAAGAATGAAACATGCAGCAGCCCGATGAGCAGAATATCCTAGATAAGCTCAGCACCACAAGATAAGAATCATCTTACATGAAAAACATAATGCCAAGTTAATCTTCCAAAAGAAGCACTCTACCAAGCAAATTTATTACATTATCAAATAGTCACCACTGTCATGCTCATGCTATAATACAAAGCAATTTATCATCAAATAAAGCTTCAGTAATGAAGCCTCACTTATCTTTCCACTTCATTCCCAATCCCATCAACACCAAACCGAATCTCAAATATAATTCAACTGAGTACGAAAATTTCAAAAATGCTCTGCAAAATTTCTGATGTGTAGCCAATATGTAAGATACACTGCACTTTACTCTCCGCTTTCTGCTGAGATCAATCCAGTTTGACATCTATCCTTGTCACCGTCTCTCATAATAATTCCTCTTCTTCTATATCCCAGCTGACCTTCATCTTTAGACAGCCTGTTAATCTTGAACTGCAATTGCTCTTTTTCTTTCAATGGAAAGAAAAGAATTAAGGATGAACAGGAGGTTGCTTGCTTGAGTCACCAGGGCTGCAGATGCCAATCAGCAGAACAGGAAATAGAATGTAATGATGGAAGATGAGGCATCAGAGAAACTAACAAACATCAAAGAGGAAAGAGTGCTATTTCACTCGCATCCATAATACGCCAAAAAAAACAGGCATTAAGGTGGTGATTAATCTCAATTTAGTAGGCAAGCTATGTCCTTATGGCAACACCATCTCATTCATAAAAGAACAGATGAAGAAAACTTGGAGCTGAACTTGAGCCAGACTTGAGTTCTACGAACAAAGGATTTATGCCATTTGCATCGGGACACATCGATGAGTTGAACACCTTAGAAGAAGCAACTAGGTTTTTGTGGGAGAAGGTTCTATGAGTATGCAGATGATCTCAAGAATAGATTGGGGGAAAGAAGAGCTAGACATGGAACGCAAGATCATCAATGCTTCAGAAATGCAAACAAATAAAGCCTAGAAGCAAGAAGGTCAGTAATGTTCCAATGCATAAATAATTTCCCATCAATCAAAGGGATGTAGAAAATTTCAGCTGTCAAGAGGGACCGCTGCATAATATGTGGAAAGTATGGACACGTTCCATGCATCTCTTGGAGGGACACAGAAAACTTAGATCCTAAGGGAGGATTAATCAAGTATTCAAATGTATAGTGAAAATGGTTAAGACAGGGAAAGCCCACCCAAGGGAGAGGGATATCACAACTCAAGAGAGGGGTGTTGACATGAATAATGTCTAGGAGGATAACAATAGCTGCTACCATGAAAATATTAAGGATAAATAAACAAGCTCATAAAGTATGGCCACCAGAAAGCATTCGAGGAGATTAAACAGGGTATGATAGGGTATAAATGAAGATAGGCCCCCCAGAATGACCTTGGTAGAAAGAAGAGAGGAACATAGAGAGAGAGAGAGAGAGAGAGAGAGAGAGACGACTACGTAGTACTACACAATAGTATACTAATAAGTAGTAAGTAAGTAGTCGTCTTACTACTTAGTTTAGTAGGTAAAGGGTAAAGGGTACGAACGAAACGAACGTAACG